TTTCTATTAGCCTCATCAAACAACTTCTCTGTGGTCTTTCTAGTTCACAATATGCTAGCATTTCAGTCAGATTATGCCTTTCTATGGGGAAAATAACCACAGGAGGTGAAAGGGTGTATGGAGAAATAGAGGATGAAAACTCTGCAAAAGTCTCAGATGAGATGTTTCTACATGTAATTGGAAGGAGGAGGGGAGGGTACAGCTACTGTTGCTTCTTCCAAAATGAGAGAATGGATTTATTTGGAGACTTGTTGGGAGTCATCTAGGGGAAATTAGGTAAGAGCTAGCATTCTCTCCTCAACAGGCAAACCTTTGAGGCTAACATAGAATATTTCCAACCTCAATGATGGAGTCTCTGGGCCTGAGCATCCTGCAAAGTTAGTGCATAATGAGGGAGGAATTAATTTGCTTTCTGGCTAGCAGGCACAAACACTCTCCAATGTTGCTGCCTCTGAAGAAGAACATGTTCATACAGTTACTGCACATCCTAACTAATGTTAGGCCCACCAAGAACCACCTTTAAATTTGATATTAGATATTTGATGAAGGATCAGCTATCAAATCCTCTGTATCAGCTACTACCAGCAAACCTTAGCAACTTAATTTTGCTAACCATTAAAGAAGGAAGGTTTAGCCTGTTTTGAGTGAATGTCTTTGATTTCACGACTCACAAAGCATTTACTGTAAAGACACTCGGTAGAGTTGACCGTTCCCTTCCAGATTAGTACTCATAGGTGTATTTCATTAAATCTAGAAAGGTAGATGAGTTGAAAACTAGTTTTTGGATCCTCATTAGAAATTAAGTACTGCAAAAGATGGTCTTGTGAAAAAGTGAGTGTAAAGACACAAAGGTCAGATAAATAAATAAGTAAATTAGACTTGAAGGTGGCACTGTATTCTGCAATCCTTTTTAGACTTTGGAACAGCTCCGGGCCACCTTATTTTGATTGTTTATTTTAACAGAATTCGAGCACTCTATTTCAGGTGAAACATGGTTGTCTCCTATGCCTAGGCATCCTTTTGTGGCAAGGGAAATGTAGGTATTAAGTAATTTATCTTAATTTTTATATTCACTGACCATGTATCTTGGAAGAATCCCTTCAAGTTTCTTTCTTAAATGGGAATTCAACACACAGATGGAACAAATGTCACAATAAACACAATAACCACGTCAGGTGTTGTTGCACCTTTTACCTGACAAGTCAAAACTGTAAGACATGCTAAGTGGCCGCATTGCTGTAAAAAAGAAACAAAAACAACAAAAAGAAAATGATTCAGCTATTAGAAAAGCAGAGGGCTAACAAAACCAAAGATTAACTCCACTTGAGACATTTTGGATCCTGTTGCCTAAATCCAAAATGTGTCAGACATACCATTGCTTTACTGTAGTAAAGCTCAAAGCCTGAAAACTACAGTAGCATAAATGGCACTTGCAAACAGAGCAATTATAAATATATTTGTATAATTGTAGAATGAGATTTTTGGAATTCAATAAATCAAATATCAAAACAAGAGGCAAGTATCTTAAAAATGGAGTATTTTCAACTAAAATGAAACAGAGAAAGGGAAGAGGGGGAAAGAGAGAGAAAGGGAAGAGGGGGAAAGAGAGAGAAAGGGAAGAGGGGGAAAAGAGAGAGAAAGGGAAGAGGGGGGAAAGAGAGAGAAAGAGAGGGAAGAGGGGGAAAGAGAGAGAAAGGGAAGAGGGGGAAAGAGAGAGAAAGGGAAGAGGGGGAAAGAGAGAGAAAGGGAAGAGGGGGAAAGAGAGAGAAAGGGAAGAGAAAGAGCTGAAAAAAAATTGAAAGTACAAAGCCACATTTCACACAACTTTCAGTGACCTGAAATAAAGATATTTCTAATTTGTTTAACCATAATCTCCAATGATTATAATTAAGCTAATAAAGAGAGACAGTCAAGCTAAGCTTTAGCAGTAGTCTCCTTGAAGAGGATGGGAAAAAAGGCCAAATACAGTGTGGTTTGTGCTGATTCTTGTTCTTTTTAAAAACCTTAGGTGGACTTTGCCTTTAAAATGTAGCCATAATATTATCCTCTTCTTTCTGGCCTTCTGACCATTTTATTCCTAGGTAAGAAAGTGGTCAGATGTTCTTTATTTCTGGAAAGACCTATTTGTATTTCCAATTAAACAGTCTAATTCATGGAGTAGATGCTCAAAATATTTCTCAAATGAAAACAAAATTTCAGTGCACTAATCCAAATAAGCAGGCCGAGCTGAGCGACAAGAATATATAAGAACACGTCAAAACTGACACCAGCTTAGCTGTCTTACTTGACAGGTGATAAACATGCAAGTTTATATGAAAGGGCTTGTCAGCCACACATACCACTGCATTAAAAAATATTTTAAAAAAGGTTGTGCTGGGACAAGTTTTGCTCCTGAGAATAAATCTATGTGCTGAACGCAGTAGGTGGCTGACTCAGAGCCAAATTTGGGACTTGGGGTATTTTTCCTTTAGTTCATTAACTAGACAACATCAGCCACTGAAACAGTATCTAAATCATGGTCCAAACTTAACATAAAGGCAAACACATTTTAAAGCATAAGGGTATTTATCACCTAGTGCTGAGTCCTAACTGAAGGTTCATAAAACATGTACATGAAACAAAGTTTTCTCCAAGCTCCATTGACTCAACTTGTTTGAGTCACAAATCCATGCTTTTAATTAAAAGGACACATACCTCAAGGCTCTGTTTGTCTCGATAGCTTACTCTGATGATTTTATGAGGTCATTTGAAAGCTCACTCCAATTCCTCTACTCAAACCTCTCCCTTTGTGAGAGCAGCTACCAAGACTAAAATACCATTTCTGAAGAAGTTTTAGATAGAGAGCGGCCAGCCACAGGCTGGCTTTTCTCAGTGGCAGCTCAGGGTAGAGAAGATCTTACCTGTACGCATGTGTTATGCAGGGCAGAGGGACACAGCCTGTGGCTGCTGGGAAACACATGCCATAGGTCCACCCATATAGTAGAGGAGGAAGCGCAAGAGTACAGCCTCCCTCACCCCAGCAGTCAAGTATAGTTGTGCCCTTGACTGCTATAAACTGAGCAACAAGGAGTAACTCTGGGGCATGTGCAATGTACCATATACTCCCAAATATTTCACTCCAACACTCTTTTTCTTTCTTCTTCTTAAGAGCAACATACTTTGGTCTGGATGGTGCAAGTGTCCCACATGGTGTTTCTACCTCCTTAAACCTCATTACCTTCTAAGTTGTTACACTAAATTACATTCAGTGGTCATCTAAACTGTATGGCACATCTATTTGTACCATACTGAATGTCACTAGCATTTCTCCACTCCCAATTCTGCACAAACACATTTTATTCTAAAAGGATCTTTGGACATAACAATCATTTCAATGTAAGAAAAACGAAAATCTCACATTTCAACATGAAAAAAAAATCATCTCCAAGGCTTTTGCTCTTTTTTCTTCTTCACGCCAGTGGCAAATAAACACTTGGGAAATAAAACTTGCATACATCCCCTTTTACACCAGTAACATGGGATTTAACCCAAACAGTTCACTGGACTTAAAAGGAATTACCACAGTTCCAAAACTCAAAAACTGAGTTCTTTAACAAAAAATGAAGAATTGGTAGAAGACAGGTATCCCTTATTATCCACACCCTGAAACCAGCCCAGGAAGTCCTAACCATTAATACTAAAAAATTTAACATTGTTTTTAGAAACTGTTTACTAAATGGGCTTGATGTCATTTACATCAGTTAGAAATTTTGAAGATCTATTAGATCAAATTTGCTGCCCCTCAGAAGACATGGTAGTTCCCAGATGGAGAACACCTAAAATACTGAAATTGAATGTTTGAAAGAAAAGTAAGGAATTGTTCCACATTTTTATAAGCTTCTAACATTTGGAAAAATGTCTAGGCCTATTGGAAACATTAATTGATATAGCAAGCATAAACTGAATCCAAACCAGAAACTGGAAGGCCCAAAACATCATGCTTTTCAAAATGCATCCAAGCATTCACCAAACTCTCCCGAGCACTTCAAAACAAATGCAACAAAACAAGACTGATGAAATTGTTTTTCTCTGGAGACAATGGGTTGTCACAACCCACTTGAATCCGGACCAGTGCCTTTAAGCACATGTGGCAAGCAAACATATTTTGCAAAAAGCAGTGACAGGGAGTACATACATGGGTTATTTCATGCTTTTTAGCCAGATGATGACACTTTTGCTCTTCAAAAATCCAGCTAGCTCTGTTTTTCTGATACAGTTAAATACCATGCTCTTAAATAAATATAAGTCACAACATAACACTATATTTGCCATGCTTTTGTCATCAGAACCATTGAACTAATGCAAGTTGGTGACTGTTGGAAAGTGTAGTATTTGTCTAATTTCATAGTGGGTTGTTGAATATACACTGCAGAAATGAAATGCTTTGCAATGCCAGTTTGAATTCTTTGCCCACTGAAAATATGTACAAATACATGTTCCATAACTTAGAAAATGAAGCAAAGATTTAGGTTCAACAGAGAAGCAATAGATTCAGCAAACAAAATAAAAGCATATTTTAAATTAAAATAAGGAAATCAATGATGCTAACAACAGAGAACAAAGAGAATAAAATTAATTAAAACCAGACAAACAGACATGTAAAGAATACTTGCAGGTATGTAATGAATGTTGCACTGGGGAGAAGCAATACCCATTCCATTCTGAGCAAATCTAACATTAACTGTCATGTGCAACAAGCAATATAATGCCATTAAATTTATCTAATACTTACATTAAAAACTTGAAGGGAATCAAGCTGAACCATACAGTACCTTATTTTTAAATATAACTTAGCACAAAGAGTGCCTAGCCCTAGCAAAGCCTGTAGGTTCTTTCTTTTTCTGAAGAGATGAGAACAATTTTATCTTCCATGACATCTGCACAGACATCGCTAATATTGCTGCTGCTCATGTGGGAAGTTTTCTGTGGATGCTGCAGGTAAAAACTAGCAATGTGCTTACCCAGCCTGCTACGCCTTATCTCATCAGGTGAGACTGGACGTAACTTCCTCTCTGCCTTGATTTCCTCCAGTATCCTTTCATGAAGGCTGCGTGGCCGTGGTGGCGTTGGTTTCAGTTTTCTTGCCGAGGCCTTGGGATATAAAAATAATTGTATTTACATACAATAGTGCTTCCTTGAAAGTAGATTTCACACTTTTTTGGAAAAAAATACAGAATGTTGTGTTATGATTTTACATGCACTCAATTGTAAAACTCACAGAAATTGGGAAGAGGATTTTATTTTTTCCCAATTCATTATGATTTCCCAGAGGGATACTGGTTGGTATTACTGCTGGTAACAACAGTTATTAATTGGTAGGTGCAAGATACTACACACTGTTCTTTAGGAGACCACATTCTATATACAGAAGACTATTTTTGAAAGCCCATGTCAGAAAATGTAATATTTAACATATTCCCTGGACCCAAACATGCTTTAAAAAGCCACATTTTTGTTAGGAATGAAGCCCACTGGATTACATACAGGATTTAATGGAGGTCGCGATCGGATGAAATCCAGGATTATTTCATGGGCACTCTTTTTTAATCGAGGCGGAATGTCACCGTTGACCTGGAAAGAAGAAAGTGAAATATATATTTCCATGTTTTGCATTCATATTCATGCAGATGATGAGATCAACTGAAAACTCACAACAAGCCTGACAGAGCCTGTAGTGTTCCAACACCTGCACCAGACGTAAAACCCCACCAGTCCTGAGCAGAGCAACAATCCATATGCAGAGCACAGGCAAGCAAAAACATAGATAACAGCTTTTCAGCTTTGCAGACAGCTGCAGAATAACCACAACTACAGCAGTTTAATCAGCAATACTTAGGATTTTGAAACAATGAAATCAACTGTCAAGGCTGCAATCGTGTCTATGGGAGAATGCAGACAAAGATTGTGTCTTGCTTGGTGGAAAAGTTGCCAACGCCATTTTTAAGAACAACTATTTGAACCATGTCTCACTGCCACCCATTACACAGACTCTAATACTCTGTTCTTAGCCTCTGAGAAAAAATGGTTTAACGCCCCAGTTCTCTTGATTTCCTTACCATCTCCCAAGCACTGACATGAAAGCAAAGCTAGAGCTGGCAAAATCACCAATGATTTGCTTGTAGCAACGGATAAAAAATATCTTCCCCTTGGTTTTTTGTCTTTACCACCCATCTCTGCTGCTCGGGCTGTGAAGGTGCCCTTGTGTGTAAATCCTAGCAGAACGAGAGGGAAGCCCTGAGCATGATTTTATAGCTACCTCTTCACCTGCACTTTAAAGATTACTCAAGTGTAAAACAAAGTTTGTTAATATGTCGAGAAAGTAAATCACTAGAATGCCATGGCATGCCATTGGAAGTGTGTACAGGAAGTGCGTTTCCTCGCTGTAAATCATCTATTTCTGTAGAAGAGGGGCTGGGTGAGGGTTGTTCGCTTGTTTTCTCAGAGAGGTGGACGTTTCTTTCTCTCATACCTCACTAAGCCGTAAGACCATATACAAGACATTGCAGAAAATAATCAGCAATTCACTATTTGTACAGGATATAGAAGAAGGCAATTGACGCTTTCCTATCACACGAAGAACTTATACATTGTAAGCTTGGAGCAATTGTATGGATTTGCTTTAAAAATCTACCTGTCAGGTTCAGTGTTCATACAGCACAGTGCCCAAGCACACTGTCAGGGATGAAAGAGCATCCTATGCCACACATCCTTCTGGTACCTTCTATTACTACACAGTAGCTGGCTATCAGCCCTGTCCTCCAATTTGACAGAAAGTCCCATGACGTTATATTTCTTAGACCAAGTGGCCCAAATTTCAGCACTTTTTTTTTTTTCTTTTCCTTTTTTTACGGGTCAGTTGGCTCATTTTTCTCTCGGAGACTCTGTTTGTACAAGGTCTGTACCCACAAAATATATGTAAAGACACAGCTCTGGTTTGTCAAATCACATCCACTTTTGCTAACCAGAAGGAACGCTGTAGTCAGAAAAATGGGTTTAAATGCCCATAAGTTCCCCAGCTGAACTTCAGTAATGCCATGCAGCTTCTATATAAGCTGCAGTCACCTCAGACATGCCCTATTTCCAGGCTGAGGTAGAGCGACAGCCTCCCAGAGAAGATTCATCCCTTCCCCAATAATAAAGCAGATGCAGAGTCCATCCTAGGGACTCTTTCTAGAGGTATCCTACCCCAGACATGGTCCAAATTCTATTTGTTCCCCTCCCCAGCTTCCTTAGAGTGAATTTCATATAGCTTGGCAGAGAATACGAAGCTGCTAAACTCCACAACATGCATCACCGTCCTAAAAACAGTGCCAAAAAATTAAAATTGGAAAGGTTTATATTAAACAGTGATTTGACATTTTATGATGAGGAGAATATTATTTTAAGTGGTGTGACTGATTTCTTCTGTTTAAAGACTGAGCAGTTTTTTGACACCAGCAGGCATTGCAGGATTATTAATGAAATGAGAAGTCTCTCTTCCCCAGGTTACTGTTCATCAGATGTCAAAGTTGATAGCTGAAGTTGAGAATTATTACCATCAGAACAGCCATTTTGTAAACTGATAACCTCCGTTCCAGCCTTGGGGAACAACCCTCTGCATGACAGTAGGAAATAAATAATATATGGCTCTGAGCCTTTCACCTCAGGGCACTCTATGCCCTGACTTAATGCCACCAGGGTATAATTAGTATCAGTATTCCCATTTGATTGGGAAAGGAGAAATGTAAGATTGGGTTAAGTGATTTTCCACAGGATACGTGGGGAGGTGGTGGCAAAGCAAGTGGATGTTTCGCAGCCAACCAGCCAAGAGCAGGAGCTCCGGTGGCAGAACCTACCTTCTCATACCTGGTGCCCAAACAAGATGCTGACAGGAAAGACACTGAAGGGAAGCCTTTATTCTTGCTGTCCACACTAGATCTATTTCTTTACTCAAACTAATTCTGTCTATAATGAGCAATTTCACATGCATCTTTTCCTTGAAATGAATTAAAATTCATGGCTCTTGATTAAAGTCTAAATCAGAGATATACTGCACAGATGCAGGCACAATACATGCAGGGGAAAAAAAAAAACCAACAAAATTATCTTTTTTGGTTTGTTTTGTTTTTTTAACATACCAGATTGGCCCCAACTGCAAACTAGTATTTAAATAAATACCTCAAAACACTGTAAAACTAACCTAAGTCTTCATGGGTGTAAAATGGCTTTTGTACAGCAGTATGCACTAAAACTGGCAGTGTGGGGAAAGCATAACCAATGATTATAAAAATCAACCAGAAATGTAGAGATCTAAACAGCTAAAGCACAGAAAAATTACCATGTAATCATCTACTCACTCACAACCATCACATTTTAATACATAAACATGGATTTGCAGTTAAAGAAGTAACTGCAAACGGTACTTAGTAACCTTTGGCTGGAACCCGAGCTTTAAAAATGGTGTTCCCAACCAAGTAGTACATTGCACAGGGCTCACAAAACCCACGCCACTTATCATTGACATTCAATTATCTCAGCCATTTATTTGTCTCTCTATAAAAGGTGACAACATTAAGTAGGAGAGTGCTGTCTCTAAATAATAGGTAACATGAAACTAATACTGTTTTGTCCTATCTAGAAATTTTCATTTACAATGAGATTGCATTGACACTGAAACAGACAGAGGGGGCGTGCTACATCATTTCCAGAACAGCTCACGATAAAGTTCTGTTGCGAATGAAAGTATTATAAGTAGATATATATTGGCCATCTGACATTATGCAGACAGGATAGTGCTTTTGTTAACACAGTTGTTAGACAGTGAGTATCTGACACCACACAGCAAGCTCAAGCAGCAGAATCCAAGAATGAAGCGCTTTGGTACTTTCATAGAATCATAGAATGTTTTGGGTTGGAAGGGACCCCTAGAGGTCATCTAGTCCAACCCCCCTGCAGTGAGCAGGGACACCGCTAACTAGATCAGGCTGCTCAGAGCCCCATCCAACCTGGCCTTGAATGCTTCCAGGGATGGGGCCTCCAC